GTCGTCCTCGGGGTGCCATCAAAAAATCCTTCAACCACACGGTGGAAGCTTACCTTTGGCGAAGCTAAAACTGATGCAGGCAAGAAGTATGGAAATCAGGCAACTGGTGACTACGCGGAAAACGCGCTCATCGTTGGCGATGCGCTTTGGGATCATCTTTCAAGGGAAGGAAAYACCATGCGCATCAAATTCAAACCAGATAAAAAAATCGACAACGGATGGAGAATTATAGTGAAGGTAGGAGATGAAACCATCCACCGAGCTTTAGTGACCGGGGCAAATACCCTGGCTTATCACGATAAAGCAGTGAGAGTTAACCTGCATGATTTGGTCGATGGACCGAAGCAAGCGTTTAACCTTTATGACGTCCTGAATGAAAAGATAAGCGCCATCCAAGATGACATCACCAGTGAAGCCAATATATGCATGTAGAAAGATTTTCACTTGGCATCAAAGCCTCAAAAGTTGGTTTCTGAGACGAAGTAAATCAGAGAATGATCGAGGTCAAAATGTGATAAAGCTAAAAGCATGATAATATAGACTCTCACGCATGAATAGAGGTATGTAATTCCAGAAATAAAATCACTTAAATGAAAATAAACTTTTCAGTGATGAAAATGACTGGTCTTTGATGTGCTCACCTGCTAGATGAAATAAAAAATAAAACATGATACCAATGTTACCAAGTAATTTTAGAACATAGCAGCACAGGGGATAATGGTCATTGTGTTGCTTTGATATGGCAATAGCCCCACCCCACTGCATAATAATCATATTAAATCAAATTAAATGATTCTCTTACTTTGAGAAAAAGGATTATGTTCACCATAGGAGGGAAGAATGACTTCATATCAAAGAAAATATACAGCAATCATTAATACATGATATATTATCATCTAAACTAGATAGATTTTTAAACTTTTTGAGACAGATATAGTAGGTCAAAATTCACACTATTTCAAAGCATCTACTAACCCACTTCAAACACAGACTCATAACCAGTCGTTACTCTTTTTTGCTACACTTGTTGAGACACCTTTCCTTCACCCTTCCCTTGATTCATTGCACTTAGTCTAAAGAGATAGAGAAGACTGGGTACGAATCTGCTCCACATATGAATAGTATATTAAATGCAAAATTATGCAAATTTCTGTCAAAAGCTGAAAACTTGATATATTATGAAAACTTTAATCAATTATTCCTGGCATTGTAATCGATCAAGCTTGATTATATGAAGAGTACACAAATTATCACAAAGTAGCTTAAATTATCTTCAGTAGTTATGTTAGCACTAAAAGAGGATTATCCTCTTTTAGTGCTAACATAACTACTGAAGATAATTTAAGCTACTTCCTTCCAACAAGTCAATATTAATTCAAGTTTATTTATCACGTTTGGGTGGAACCCACCCTTCTGGTTCAAAATCATTCTTATCAGTTTTTGGAATTTTCTCAGCCTGACCACTTCCACCTTGGGAAGGTGTCCATGCACCAGGGTGAAATGAGTCCCCCACTCTTGTTGGCTCACTTCTTAACTCTGACTTCTCGTAAACGTGAGAAGAAGCATGTCCTACGGGAGATGTAGATGTCCTCTCTTTCTCTTGCTGTTCCTCCATTTTTTTTCTTTCTTCTTGTTCCAAATTTTTAGCTCTTTGTTTTATAATTTCTCTTTGTTGCATCTTTTGTATTAATTCGTCATGTGTCGGAGGGTCCTCTCTTTTACCTCTTATCCAGGCTTCCCACTCTACTGGTATCGATCCATCTTCGTACTGTTCATGTTTTAGGTTTGTTATGACCTCGCGTCTGACAGTCGATCTGCCACCTCTTTTGGAAATCACTTCAATGTAAGTATTCCCATCTAGATCTGTGCCTACTATTCTACGCCCAGGCCGAAGAACATTTAAAAGATTTCTGAACCAACTCATGATGAGGTTTTATACTTGCAAGAATGACAAATCTTAATGYAAAGTGACTTTATGAACAGTGACGACCGCCATTTTGGATTACCACCACAGGAATCCCGAACTTTATTGGATTTCCTGTGGTAGCGTTCAGCTGTGTTCTCCTTCGAATATGTTTATTGACCTTGTAACTACGAAAACTGAAAATAACTGGACGAAACTGGACGGCAATTGCTCTATTTGTGAACATAACATGAAACACTTGATACACCATCCCATGAGATGAAGAAAGAGACTTTGGCGTCAATTTTGAGTGAGTATTACGCTGTATTGTTATGCAATATTTTCACTAGTTTCAGGTTTCGTGTCCTTTCGTTTCGACTCGATGAACTGTTTTCTTTCSTCTAGTTAGAAAAACCTGGTGTCCTGATCTAGTTTTATTATTTTTGTAACAAACTTGACAAATAATCAATTTTCTTTATTCTCAATTCGTCTTTATAAAGCAGAATCGATTACACTACAGCCGTCTTTTACGCTTACATTAACTTAAATGTCTTCAGGAAAGTCACGCTAGAACGTGAGAATTGCCACCAAAAATAACACTTTTTACAGAGTTATTGTTACACAACTTTATATAATGCTTCGTCGTTTGTTTAATATCAAATATTTGTCCATAGTGATCGTGGGAATAGAGAATTTATTCAATACACACTTTGAACTTTTTTCGTTCATTCTTCATCACATGACTGTAAATATGTGACGTCATCTTATACAGGTCAAGTTCATTTTAGTTCTGGAATTTACAAGCATAATTGCTCTCTTAGCAAAATGCTAGTGACTTTTATAATTTTCCTTGAGAAATTTATCAAATTCAGAAAATATATAAAACTTAAAGAAAATAATAAATTAAAATTATATAATATCTTTAGTAGAAAATGTTAAACAATTTCAATAGAGCTGTTACTATGACAATAACAAACCAGCACATGAAAAAGTGACTTATTTCTATTACAAACATGAA